ATGATTTGTAGGAAACATATTTTGGAAATTTTGGAGAATTTACGTGGTATAGTTCCAAATAATTTTATTTACTTTCTCAAAATTAACTTTTACTTTTAAGTGATAACAAGACAAAAAAATTAAATAGTTTTTCCTACAGATCATAGAAAAGAAGCTAACAAATTCAAATTATTATTCAAAATTAATGTTTATTTTTCGCCAGCTTATAGGTCTAAATGCATGAAAAATCCAATCGTTTAGAGCCGTCTTAAGTAAATGTTCGTATGCTTTATTTTTTAGATTTCTATCTCGATATTCCACAGACTTGATGCGCCACAAGCAAGGAAATTTTTTATATTCTTCAATAAATTCAATTAAAAATGAATAAAACATTTTTAAATGACGTATAACATTAATATACAAATATATCGTAATCAAATAATTTACATTTAAAATTTACTTTAAAATTAAAAATTAACACTGTAGCGGTATATGTAAAGCTGTACGACATGTGCACAGTAAATAAACACGTCGGTTTTTATCAGAAAGCCCACACAATACGATTTTAAACGACAACCGGTAAACCCATCGTGTTTAAATTCAAGACTCGACAGAAATAAAAACCGTCATGTTTCATTGTAGTGTGTGGGGCCATTTATCCACTATCATTGATTAAAAATACACGTATATTTAATCAAAATCTATATACTAATATATTTGTGTATTCGCTGGATGCCTCAATCCCATTCTGTTGCCACTTAACTTCTTGACATACTCATTTTATAGACCAAATTATATATATATATATATAAATCAATATTTTTTTTTTAAGTTGATAATTTTTTCATACATTTCTTTTTAAACCGAAAGTCAAAATTTATTTATAAATTAATAAAATTTATTTTTAAAGTATTCTGGCATCCGGATGCTCCCCAAACATCTGCTGCCCGGGGCAATTGCCTTTAAAACTCTCCGTTAAATCTGGCCCTGATTATAATAAGGTTTTCCATAGTATCTACATTTATAGAAATAATGCAAAGTATCCATCATATACAGGGCTCGGAAGTTCTAGCAAATGTATATTTTTCTGGGTAATCCTAGAACATTCAAAATAAGATACAAATATATTTCTCACTACTCGGATATCATACACAAAATTTAATTTTGCTATTTTTTTTTATATTTACAAGTTTTATTGCTATTTTGCTAATTTAGGGTTTATAGTACTATTTTCGGGTATATTTTTACATAATGTGGTAAATCAAATTTTGTTGATATTAATTGTATTTACTTGGTTATGTTTATAAAAATATTTTAATTATTGGAAATAAATAGACCTCATAAAATATTATTTTATGTTTTCATTGGCAATTTGTTGTATTAATAGTTAGTGACGTCATTGTTATTCCCTTATTATACCATTGCATTAGATTATCAAACATTTTAATAATCTAGGATAATTTCCAAGGTAAATATATAAAATAGTTTAATAATAAGTACATTTTTACAAATATATTTAAGTAATTTAATATTTTTGTTAACATTTTATAATTCAATTAGTCCAGACTGTGTCTATGAGCCTAACAATTTGTAAAATTAAATTTTTTTCAAGTTAAATGCATATTTTTTTTATTTTTCGTGCTATTTATAGCACATATTTTAGAGTTTTTATGTGCATATTTAAGAGCTAAAAAGTAATATTTATAGTGCTAAAATTTTCGAGCCCTGATCATATAGCTTATATAGCTATATAAGTTATATAAATAGCTAAAATACAAGCTATATACAAGTTAAAAGAGCTTAAATAAATACTATTTGCTGGAAAACTTCACGTGATCATTTTATTATTTTTAAAACCAGTTAAAAAATTTAAAGATTCAAGTTAGCTAGTTTACTTGAAAAGTTTAAAATGCCTTAACTACTATATAATATGAGAACTACTGTCTGTCATAAATGTAAATTTAAGTATCAAGTATATTTAATAAATATAATTTGTATGACACATATTATACTGTTAAATTTATGAATAAAATGGCCCTTCACATCTATAAATTATAATAATTTAGTACCTAAATAACAATTGTATCTCATAATTTTTAATTATTATATAACTTATATTAATTATTATTCTAATACAAACTACAAACCTGTAATTCTGTTGACAAAATGTTTAAAGTTGATAATGGCAAATGTTAAAAAGAATGAAGTAACTAAACATTTTTAATTGAACAAATACTCAATTTAGTTTTAAATAATACTGTTAAAATATCTTATTTCTAAAATATATATAGTATGAATACCGAAAAAATGTAGTAAATAAATGTAAGAAAGATTTGTATATAAAAAATAATAACGTTGATACTAAATGTTACTGGAACCACAAAGTAATGAAAGTTGTTCAGAAATTATTATTAATTTTAAATAATAAATTGGAAAATTTTACTGAAAGAAGGGGAATTTAATTAGCTTATAACTATAAATATACGTATATATTTAATCAATTTTAAGAAAATAATCATCAACTAATTTGCTTTTAAATGCATAATCAACTATTTATTATTTATTATTTATAGTATCAAAATAATGATATTTTATTGTAGAATATATGAAAATATAATAATTGTATAACATATTAAATCCCATTTATACGTACCTAATTATATACTTACTTCAGTCAAACCCAATTGTATTAACTTTCAATTATACGATTTTGGTATTTTGTCTTGATATTTTAAAAACGTATATACGTCACACTTTATACTTAAAATATTAACATTAAACTTTATATAATGAATACTAATCATACATTTTCAAAATATTGTACAAATTAGAAATTATATTTAGTAAAAACAAATACTATGAGTATTACTTTATAAGTATAAGCTTTAACTAGATTATAAATTCGGGTGAGGGATTATAGTCTTGAATATTAGGAAAAAAACTAACCGGAAAAAAAGTTTCTAAATTAATATTTGATTTAGATTTAGTCTTTTATGCACAAACAAAATAAAATATACAATAATGTATAATATAATATAATATCTTAAATATCTATAATAATATTATTTCAAAAATATGAGATTGCAATTATTCAGATATAAAATATCTTTCTTATATTTTGACCTATTTGCTTTAAAAAATTAGGAATATCTGCAGATTTTTCCTCATCGAAACGCTTACATAAAATGTTCGGAACTAATATGAAACTGAATACGTATGATAGGTACCTGTATACAATATTAATATTGTTTATTAAAAAACAAATTTGGATGGGGTAACTTCATTAATCTCAATAGTTATATTTTTCCAATATTCTTTTACATGTATTTACCGTTTACAGACGTCTCGAAGTGGTTGAACATATTTATTATTATGATAATATTGAACATTTTGATAAGGGAAAGAAGGTTCACAGAGTAGTCAAGTGCCTACCCTGACAACTCCGTACGCACGCTAATGGTCACCATTATACAATGTCAGCTAAGGTGGACAGGGTTGTCACTTAGCTCCCTTTTTATTCAATATATATGTAAATGGTATAAAGATTACAAATTCCCATTTACTACTTTGTGCTGACAAATTTAAAATATTCTGAATGACTATGAATCTCCTAACGATGAAAAATTGCTTTAGAATGTGACCTAAATTTACTCAATAATTGGTGTGTTCTTAATAAACTATATTTCATCACATTCTCAAAAAAGCGCGTAACTCAAATTTATAAGTATTATTTAAATTATACTGAATTGGCAAGCGTTTCTCGTATCAAAGACGGTGTTTATTTTTAATTCTTTCTTATCGTTCAATGATCACTATATCTAAGTCATAAATAAATCATCTTTAATATTTAGGCTTTGTATGTATAATCTGTTCTGATTTCAATAATCCAATGGCTTTAAAATCTCTGTATTTGTCCGCTCTATACTCGACTATAATTCTGTCGTTTGGTCTCCTTACATGTCTAATCCGACCGAAGCTATTGAAGCGATTCAGAATCGTTTCCTAAGGTTTCTTGCATTTAAATGCGGTGTCCAACGCCAGCGACACATCTTTTACGCCATTACTAATATTAACAAATTTAGAAACTATACAAATAAAGAGAATTAGACTTTTTTCACTTTTAAGTTATTGAATGGTATCATTAATTGTTCTACTATTTAAATTTAATTTTCTAGTACCCAATTCTCGTACCAGGAAGTCTAATACATTTTATGCGCCATTTCATCATACTAATTATGCTAAAAATGCCCCCATCAGCACTAGGTTAATGGGCCTTGTGAACAGATATAATGTTGATTTGTTCTTTTATAGTAATATTATCTCCTTTAATGTATATCTTAGTTATAATGAATCAAAATATTGTTTGATTATTTATTGTATGGATGTAATTTATTTTTGTATCTATAACCAGTTGTATTGTATTACTATGGTTTAGAAGGCAACGTATGTAACTATACTTGCGAACCAACACAGTCTCATATTTATTCTTATAAATTGGGATTTGCCCGTTTAAATTTCTTATAAATAATTAATTAAAAATTAAAAATAAATATACAAAATAGAATTTGAATATTTACAATTAAAACAATTTTTTTTTTTTTTTTTTGATTTACAACAGTCGTTTTCATTTATAAATCTTTGACAAAATCTTATTTTTGAAAACAAATTTATACAAAATTCTCAGATTAAAAAACTTTAATGCATTAATATTTATTGAAATTAATATATACTATGTATTAGATATTGTACGTTATTCTATAACCTAACCTGCTTAGTATAAAATAAATAATATTAACAAATTAATGACGATAAATTATTGGCGATATAAAATCTTTTAGATATACCTATATATAAGACTAAATATCATGTAAGGAATCTTTTCTATACTTCTATAGACTTTCAAACTTACAATTTTTAAGAAATACTAGGCATATGTTTACATCACAAAATTATATTTTTTTCTATACTTAATTTTATTCCTCGTCTTTTTTTTTAACACCACTATCATAAATGTTATAAAACCAATCAAAGAGAAAATATATTATGGTTGATCTTATTTTTTGAATCTTTAAACAAATTTAAATCTATGAGTATTAATTTTCTCACCTTCATTATATTCTGATTCGTCAACGTGATTAAAAAACTAATTTAAAAAACTAATTAAAAAACTATTTTAAAGCATAGATATAATTTTAGTGCCGAATCTAAAAGCTAAACCTAACGGAAATTTTGAATTAATCCATAAAGAAAACATCAGGGTATAGTTTAACAAAGGACGAAATATAAAAGCCAACCATTGTTTGGATAATAATACGTTGTGCGTATACGTTTGTATATTATACATCCATCGACTGTATCGAGTAGTGATTCGTTGTTCTGAATCATGTATTCCACAAAGTTCGAATGCGTACGTCAGAAATGCATCTGTATCTAGTAATGGTGAAATAGGCTTTAAACCATTAATCAATGCATCTATCATGTGATTATATTCCGCAGGAGGTTTATTTAAGGACACCACATAGACGCCTTCAAAAATAAAGGCACATGCAGTTCGTACCTCTTCAAGAGTACCTTCACATAAATTATATCTGAAATCAGAAATGTAATACATATTATTTCATATAGACATTTTTATTCTTCATACATGTGTATACTTCAAAGGATATTCATCATTTTGAATATCTTCGCTCACATCAATCCAATATTTATCGTAATCATGCCGGCGCTAGGTATTGCGGGGCCCTGGACATTGGTATTAGCCTATAGGTTCCCAGAGAGGGGCAAAATTCTAGCTTTTTTTTTAATCAGGATTTTTTAAAAAAATATTGTTTTTCTTCGAATTTTAAACAATAACTATAGAGAAAATAAATATTTATATTATTATTTATTGTAGGAATCCTACTCGGCGGGTATCGTCAATAAATTATCGTCGTATCGATAACGATTTACTTTGTAATTTGTACTATGGCTAAATTTAGATATAATTTTCCAAATAATTGATTATAGGCATAATATAGATTTATAATTTGTCGATATAAAATGTCAATGTGTCTTACGGTATTAAGATGATAATTAAAAATCATGGGGCTCTTTAACAAGCGCGGGGCCCTGGATAAATGTCCCATTTGTCCTCTCCTAGCGCTGGCACTGATCTTAGTCCTCAATAACTCAAAACTTCATATTCTTTAAATATAAATTTAAATCCTAATCCTAAGCCTACTTCTTACGCACATTATCTTTATAGTTCTGAAAATAATAATAATGTTACTTTAATCGAAATGCTGTTATCAAAATTCATTCTAAATTTTACTTCAATTATTAACCCACTTATATTTCTTCTTACCTTAGTCCTAAATACTATTAACCAAACAGCAGTTCATCAGTGATATCTCAATGTACAATCATAATTTTTTTAATTAAATCATTAATTTATTCTTATTATATGTAATCTTTTTTATTATTGTTATTTACTGTATTGGCTACAAATTATGGTTATCATGTGAAAAACTATAGATATATTATACATAATTGTTGAGCTGTAATGCTTTAATAGCAAAGGCTCATAAAATATTTAAAAAAAAAGAGTTGCATAATTTGGGTCACCTGAAATATACGTTTATGTATTTATAAAATTCATTTTATGATAATTATGATCCCTATTGAACTTTCTTGATCAATAAAAGTTGATAAAAATTTCTAGACTCTTAATCTAAAAATATATATATTTTTCATAATTAAATCAGTTTAAATTATATAATTTAAATTTAGATAATATGTTCATAAGAGATCAAAATCCTGGCAAAACAAAGTTTTTTTTTTTTCAAAATATAATACTATTATTTAGTAACCGATCAGTATTGGTTTGTACCCACCAATTTAGAATTAGTTAATCGAATCCCACCACTTCAGGAAAGTTATTTTTAAGTGTAATTAAATACTCTTATTATGTTATAATTTAATTATTTAATAAACAAAGTTAAATAACTCACTGATCACTAATTCCTAATATGTAACCCATAGTTCGCCAAAAATGAATTATAGATTTGTCATCTTCTTCATTTCCGATAATGGACAATTCTTTTTTTTTTAGTAACGTTAAGCCAACGAGTCCGAATTGTATCAATGCCATATCTTTTTGAGTTACTCGTAGACCAAGTCCTGATCTATCGTACGGCTCACATGCAGCACAATGAAGACTATATATAACAGCCATAGACATTTGAGATCTGAAAAATTAAAATAACTACGTTTAAACCTTAGAGTAAATTTAGTAACAAATTTGGAGCTATGTGTAGTTTTAAGTTGCAAGGTCGAATTGCACAAATTAATGATTTAATAAATTAAAATATATTTAATAATAAATTCGTGTATTAAATGTATATTATTCTTATAATATTAAATTAATAAATTGTATTTATATTTACTTTGATCTGAAATTTTTTACGTCGAATTCATACCATTTTAATACATTTCTAAAGGTATAGATGTATCTCTTAAAACTATTGTAAGGATCTGGAGACTTCCTTATCAGTGATAATGCATCTAGTAATGTTGGTATTGACAGGACTAATATTAACCCAATCAATTTCGAAACAAACATTGAATATAAATTGTTGTAGAAGTACTTTTGTCCTCTAAAAAATATAAATATAAATGTTCATTTTATGTATAAAACATTACATAAATTGGTCAATTATGTATATATACCTATATATATATTAATAAAAAATGTGATACTCATTTCATTACTTAAATAATTATAAATTTATGACTTTTTTTATTTTTACTAGTATTTAAGAGCTTTCAATAAGAATTATTATAGTTCAAAAATAACAGAGAATTTAAGACTTCATTTTTTTTAAAAAAAAAATTCGTGTCTATTTGCTTAATAATTTAACAAAAAAACTCAAATTTATCATAAAAGTATTTTTTTTTTTTTTATGTGTGATTTAATAATTAGTTTATACACTCCTACGATTTCTAATTAACCAAAAGTATTTAAATACTACTGTTGTGGACCAATGGTGACCCAGTTAGAATAATCATGTTATAAGTATGAATAATACACGGATGTATGTATAAACGGGTATCCATAGGCCACCACGATAAGACCTTCCGGTCTATGTGTTACGCGCCGGCTATTATAGGAAGACGACGGACAGTTGATCGGCAGTCTGAATTGTCAACTCTTATGAGTGAGTGCAAAATTGTCGGTTAGGCTCTCGTCTCTTCTTTTTAATGTTCAAATATTTTATAATTATTCATGTAATAATTGCTGTAATATTGATTATATTTAGTTAAATAAACGTTAATGATATTAACTACGAATAGTTGTGCTTCGTAGTAAGTTAAACCTTCTACTGTACCGTCGCTCGCCGTTGTAGGGACGCAACATTACTTACAAAGTTGGCAATACCCGTGAACCGTCTTGACAGTCTTCTCTATGAAACTTTAGTTAAATGTAAGAAGTTTGATAGTGTTTACAGGCAGTTTATATGTTATAGATTTATAGTATTAACATTATGTGGAACAAATATCAGAACATCTAATTACAGTCATTACGGAAGCCGCACAAGCCTGCTTCAAACCCAAGACACATTATAACTCTCAAAATATCGGTTTTATACCACACTTTATACTATCTTTAATACGTCAAAAATATTTTGCTAGACGGAATTGGCAAATCCAAAGAAACCCGGCAACTAAAAAACTCTTAAATCAACTCACTAAAAAAGTTAAGATAGCGCTACAAAACCACCGCGTATCGTCTTATAATAACTATTTATCAAATATGCATCCGGGTGACACAAATTTATGGAAAGCATCCAAAAGACTGTTAAATCAAGATATAAACACTATTCCTCCTCTTCGTAAAGACAATCAACTAGTGACTTCTGATGCCAAAAAATGCAACGTCTTCTTAGAAATGTTATTCAACACGTTTTCTGTTAACCAAATCTCTAATACTAACAACGACCGTCGAGTTCTAAATTTTTTAGATCTACCCGATTACTCTGTCCAGAAACCCATGGTACACGTAACACCTAATGAAATTAAGCTAATTATAAAAAAATTACCAAACAAAAAAGCACCAGGAAACGATCGCATCACGAACATCATGTTCAAGAAGTTACCCGCTATAGGTCACGTCCTTATGACTGCATTATTTAATTCTCTGTTAAGACTTGAACACTTCCCACCGAAGTGGAAAATAGCAACGGTCATACTTATCAAAAAACCTGGTAAGGATAAATCGAACCCGGATTCCTATAGACCAATAAGTCTTTTAACCTCCTTATCCAAAATATTTGAAAAAGTTATTCACACCAGGTTACAAGATTTTATAAATAGCGCGGACACTATTCCTAAATTCCAATTTGAGTTTAGATCGAACCATTCAACAGTTCAACAACTGTTTCGTATAACAGAGCATATCAGCACCTCCTTTGAAAAGCACTGTCACACGGGTGCCGTCTTTATTGATATCTCAAAGGCTTTTGATAAAGTATAGCACACAGGTCTTATGTATAAATTAAAAAGTATAAACACACCAAAATACTTATTCTATATTATTAAATCCTTTCTTTCGGACAGACAATTTTCAGTAAAAATAAATGACTCTTTCTCTGACCTCCAGCCTATCACTGCCGGTGTACCCCAAGGATCCAAGCTGGCCCCAATCTTATTTAACATCTATATATCTGATATCCCACAGTCACCATGCACCAATATTGCCCTTTTCGCAGACGATACGACAATTTACAGCGAATCCCGTAATATAGAAGCGGTAATTCATAACCTACAAAACCACTTAAATGTATTATCAAACTGGTGTAAAAACTGGAAGATTCAAATAAACGCATCAAAAAGCACAGCAATCATTTTCAGCCTTCGTCGCTACTCCACACCACCATCATTAAAATTCGACAAAGTGCCTATACCTTGGGAATACCTCGGAGTCACTCTTGATAAGAGGTTGACCTGGGAGCTTCACTTATCAACAAAACTAAAACTAGCATATCAACGTCTATTGATGCTTTTTCCAATAATAAATAAAAAATCAATCATCCAAAAAAAATGCTCAATCCTAATATACAAGCAACTTCTACTGCCATTAATAACTTATGCTTGTCCAGTATGGGGGAATTGTTCGGCTACACACCTAAAAAAAATTCAAATATTTCAAAACAAAGTGCTAAGAATTATTACAAATGCTCCGTGGTTCATTCGGAATGAAAATATACACAAAGACCTCCAAATTGTTAAAATCGAAGACTTTATACGCACACTATCAAAAAAATTTCATAGTTCATTACTCAACTCAACAGGCTCACTTCACTACAATCTCCATATTCATCCACCTCTCCAACGACGTCTAAAACGTGGCCGCCCTCATGACCTCATTATTCAAAATCAACCTCCAGTCTAATCTGTATATATTGTAATAGTTTGCAATTATATAATATCTCAAGTATCTGTAACCATACCGTATTCATATTGTAATATTTAGAATACTTATTTATTTTATTTAGTTTTATTTAGCTTAATTGTATACATCTGTCCATTTTTTTTTTTTTTATATTTATATTTATCCTTTTAAAATAGCTACAAACTAATATTGTCTTTTATCCATAGATATAGATAGCCTGCAACGGCTAGGAATGTCTTATTTTATTAATAATTAAAAAAATTCGAGGGGTGCGCAGGGGGACGAAGTTCCTCTACTATTTTTTTTTTTTTTGCGTACCCCAACTATATTTTTTCACCGGAACGGGGGGACGCCGCGTTCATCCTAATTGATGTCCAAAATAATTTTTATGTGAATTTCAATTTATGTCAATTGGAAAATGAATTTTACGATTAATAATATCAAAACTATTTTTATAATTAAATATTATATGATGGTTATGATGAGGGACAACGTCGTCATTTCTGGAAAAATATAAATAGTAATGTCTGTGAATTTGGTGTATTACACTTTATACATTGCACGGTTTGTTATTAATATCGGCGATCGACGATTTCGTCATTTCGGAAAAAAATAAATGCCTTCGCTACGACCTTAGACTAATCTTCTAAGACCCGCATTAAAGAGTAAAAATAAATAAAAACAAAAACAAAAACCAAATATAATGATTATATCATTCGATTCATGAGACTGATCGCCAACAATTTCCTATGTTAATTATTATTTTATTTTTATTTTCTATTGTAACATATAGGATGTTGGCATTGCTATCAAAATATATTTAAGGTTAGTGGAAGGGTGGAAGAGGGACGAAGCCTCCCACGGGTCTGTGTCAAATAATTGCGCACGTAGAACGCAGTTTTCAAATCGTTGGACTGAGCTCCTCTACTAAATTTTTCCCAAGTCGAGCACTGATTATACCATAAAGTGTATATGAAGATGATATTATGAGGTACCAAAATAAAACTATTTCAATGGGAGTTTATGAAAAAAAATGTATATTTAGTATAATTTTAGAGAAATCTAAAACCATATTGAATATTGACATTACACCAAATTGCAGAATTCACGTATTCGTTAACGGTATAGTTGGATTCACGAATTCAACGTAACTTTTTTGTATGTAATTTTAAAAATTTGTCAATATATGCAAAGTAAGTATAAAAATTTTGAAATATGCACTTTCCTGCAAAATCTATCAATTATGTAAAAATATGCACATTCAAATTTTAGATCTGATATCATGGCACCGAGAAACAAATTTATTTCGCACTCTGCTGTATTTAACAATAATTAAAAAAGTATGCAAATGCTAGAAGTCTCTAAGCCTAGTAATAAGAAAGGATTTTTCGAAAGTCGTATATTTAAGGGTCGAAACAGTTTTGGACTAGATGCATACATTTTTCAATTTTTGGTTATCTAGAAAATATTTGATTTGTCTAATATGTTGATTTTAATAATCACCGATTAAGAATTATGTAAATTATTAAACGGTATAACAACATAATCGAAGCCATAATTTTAAACAGAAAATTTAAAGGTGAAAATATACTATTATCATGCATCCCAATGACTCCAACAGATAAGCCATTGGAATTCAAACTTTTGCAGTTTCTAGTGCGACTCGCTTTTGAAATGATCTATAACAAATTACAAGGACAATTAAAACAAATGTTTAGACTAAATCTTGAAAATTCATGCTTCTCACTAAGATAGCTATGTGTGGCTTACTCACGAGTCTGAAAACCTTCTGATCTATTTGTGTACACACCACAAAAGGAAAACAAAAATATTGTGTAATCTAAATACACTTTAATAAATAGCATTTATTTGAAATCTCGAATTTTCAGACTTTTCTCAGTAAAATGAATAAATAAAAATTAATAATCCAAAATAAATTGAACATTATTGTAAGGATATTAGTATATACTTAAATATAGTAAACGGTACAGCAAGGCGTGATGGACATGGCTATATTTAATATTTACTTATTATAATACATAACAAATTAATATTTCAACTGTCATTTCAGGTGATTTATGCTTAAAAAGCCATAGGTTCAACAGTAACATCCAAAAGGAGTTGAACACTTACTATTTTCTCAACGGACAACGTCAGGTATTACTCACTCATTGATCATCGTTACATCTCAAAACTATATGAATT